CCCCCTCCAAGCACCCGTACTGTCCCCCCATCATCACTACTATTGGGGGACTACCTCCCCCCGTCAATGGTCCATAAAATGACGCTTCGCGCTTGGTGATGTGAGAGCCTGGTCCGGTGTGAACCCGGAGTGCTCCGTCCCGGCTTTCTAGGGATGTGAGGTCAATGGTCTCATGACTTCGGCATGCACGGCTATGGGTACACACACCCCGCCCTCCCCGCGCGCGAAACTCTTTCTTGCACCCGAACAACCAGGTCCTTGCAGACGTGATGACGGCGCTCTGTGCCAACCTGAGGCCGGCGCCTTTCCACTACGGCACCATCGCCCTTCGCCTCTTGGGCAAGCTGGGGGGAAGGAACAGGCGCTTCTTGAGCGAGCCCATGCTGCTGCCGCCCAGCACGGGCACGTCCTGGCACACGCGCGACTGCTTTAAGGTGATGGGGAGCTTTTTTGCCGCTGTTCGACGACGATGCTCTGCTGTGTCGTCGTCTTTTTTTTTTCTCTCGTCACTTTACATTATTTTATATATAAACTATATTATATAATAGCGCTTTTTTTCCTCGTCACTTTACCTTATTATATATAAAAATTATATTATACTTCGCTTTTTTTTTCTCGTCACTTTACTTTGGCGCTTTTTTTTTAGAAGTAACCAGAAACAGGTGCACCCGAATAGATTATCACCATTTCAGGGTACACTTGGAAATCAAGACGACACCAATCTCCGACAGCATCCGCCGTAGATCGCGGCGAAACCAATAAACCGCTGTCTGTGTCCTGTGTGTCCTGTGCCCGGAAGCATAATGATGCACGAGGCAGGTCGTGCCCGTTTTTCTCTCTCTCTGTGCCTCTCTCTCTCTCTGTGCTTTTACTGATCAGTACCACACCGAAGTACTCGTGCGTCAAGCGAGTCCGACCCTCTGTTGAGAAGGGCCGGTATCCTATGGAGGCGGTGCCCATGAACGATGAACGAGCGAGCGTTGTTGGTGCTTTGGTTGTGGTCATGTATGTGCGGTACACGGTATGTGCGGTACTACACGTTTTTTTCTGCGGGTTTTATGCTAGAGCGTCGGGCGCCGGGATTACATGACCATTTCTGGGTACAATATTGACCTCTTCCGGGTACACCAGTTTAACCAATATCGGTCACACCACAGGGTCCTAGTTCGAGCGGAAGTTGTACCCGTTGGAGGTTTCTTCAGAAATGGGTACAATGTTTTTTCGGCCAATCAGCTGACAGCCTGGGGGTGCAAGCGTGTTGGTTTCTAACTGTACCCTAAAGTGGTGATAAAGGACCCGGGTACACCCGTTTCTGGTTATTGGTCCTTTTTTTTTCTCGTCAAAAAAAAATAATACATCTTATACATAAATTATAGTACCTATATAATAGCGCTTTTTTTTCTTGTCACTTGGCATTGGCGCCTTTTTGTTTCTCGTCACTTTACGTTAGCGCTTGTTTTTTCTCGTCACTTTACATTAGCGCTTTTTTTTTCTCGTTACTTTACATTATTATACATATATATATTATTTTATACACAATAGCCCTTTTTTTTTCTCGTCACTTTACAGTAGCGCTCACAGTATTTGTGCCGCATACGAGCAACCCTACTCCGTGGCCACACAGCAGTCTTCTCAACCCTCCTGCCGTGTTTCCCTCCGATTTTGAACGGCATCTACCAGCTTTCTGCACGAGGGCTTTTTGGTTATAAAATTTTTACTGTGGTGACCCAAGCGCGGAGTAACCCGTCTTTCTTCCATGAGCCCCACCCCCACTTCTAACACTGGGGCATAGGAAGTGGGCTGACCACGCTGGAAGTGATAGTGATAGGATTGGGAAAAACACTTCTGAGCCACCTTTGGCAACGTACAAAGGAACGACTGGCCATCGGTGATCGGTCCTGCGGGAACAATGCTCCGTCCTCTCGAGGACTGACGCGTGGTCAATGGTCTAACGACTACGATACGCTTTTACATCGGAGTACGCGCCCCCCTCCTCCCGCGTATGCACGTTTTCAGTTGGAGATGGAGTGGTCCTTCAGCCCGGACGACAACCTCGGCCCCCCCGGCGACTCCCGGCGGCGCTTCACGCTCCCGATGGACTTGATATTCGGCAAGGTTTGCGCCCTCCTCAACAAGCTGTCGGGCAAGGTTCAGGTCGCCCCCGCGGTTAAGAACGCCGCTTCCAAGAACGCCTCCTCCGCTGGCGCTCAAAAGAAATCGGTGGGCACGGCGGGGGCGGCGACCGACGAGGGTGTCGACGGCAGCGAGCGCAAGAGCGTAATCAGGGACACGCTGCAGGAGTCGCTGTCGCGGCACAAGCGGCTCGCTTTCCGGCTGGTGCTGTCGTGCATGGCGCCGGTGCTCGCGGGGGGAGTCTCGCTGCCGGCCATCACGGAGGAGGAGATCGTGGCCGCGGAGAAGAAGTGCCGCATGGAGGAGGGCGGGGCGGACATGCTGGATCGCCCGCCCGAGAGCTTCCGGGAGGCCGTGCTGCCGGCGCACCTGCGGTACAAGGCCCAGTTCGAGTATAAGGTGGGTTGGGGGGAGGGTTTGTTGTGTGCTGATGGATCTAAGTGGAACAGTCTGAGGGGGAGAGGGGGGCGGGCGGGTGCCGGTGGAATTGTGAAGAGAGAGGGGTCGGCGGGGGAATAAGGTCGTGCTAACGCTTTTAGTGCCGTTGACAGCCCCTTTTTTGTTTTCTTCGTGCAAGGTCAATATAATGTAGTGTAATGCAATTATCCGCAGATATAAACTCCAGGATAAATCAGCAATGTTTTCCTGATGTCATTGCTGGAAGACACACGTCCTTCCATGAGTGCTGAAGGAATCCGATGCTTGTCGAGGCATCATGCCTGCAGAGGGTGAAAGACTCAAGCAGTACATGCATGCCAAGGCCTTGGAAAATACCGCCCGCCCTCTCCTCACACTACTAATAGAATCAAACCTCTTCGTTTCGTTGCCGCGTGTACGGCTGTTGTATTCCACCCTCCGCGTTTTTTCTTTTCAGGCCCGCATGATGTCCAAGGGCATCGCCGCCCTAATCGTCTCAGCCTCGGACCCAGACCTTAAAGAGGCGGCCTCTCCCGTCTTGCACGGCATCATCCTGGACTGCATCCGGTTCACCACCCCGCCGCCGCCCGCGCCCCAAGCCGCCGAACCCACCCCCCGCCGCCGCCTGCCCCGAGGCTTCTCGGACTTGGACATCGGCCCGTACTCCGAGCCTGCGGCGGCGGCGGCGGCGGCGGCGGCAGCGGTGGACGCGCCAGCGGCCGTAGCGCCGGGGGTGGGCGCCGCCGACATGGCCGCCATGCAGGACCCTAAGGCCGACCTGGTGTTTTCGCCGCTGGAGGCGATCGCGGAGCACCTGCGGGGGCGGCGGGTTACCAGCCCCTGCGAGATCACGGACGCGATCGTGGATGGACTGAGTGACGTGCGGAAGGACGTGCAGGGGGTCGCTCTGGGGCTCATCGAGTGAGTGGCGGGAGGGGGGGGGGGGGGGGTCG